TATTCCATTCTTAAGGCTTTTTTTAGGATTCTGAGTTGTGAGGGGAAGGGGGTACTGGATGAGAAGCGAAAGATCTACGCCGAGTAGTTCTCCGTTTCTGATGCTGGTAACTTTTTTTAAACCCTAATTCGACTCTTGCTTTTAATGGCAAAAGAACAAACTTCGATTCAATTTCTTTGCTTCTTTATTTCAATATTAGATGGAGATGGACGCGTTACTAGGAGTGATGCGCTCAATTTCTTTGTCATGTCCAATTTGTCTCAGCCCGAGCTCAAACAGGAGACCTTGCCTTTTCCCTTTTTTCGAGGTTTAAGTAATACTCATGGATTCTTTGTTATTGTCAAAGTTTAGTTCAGTGACTTCTCATTGTTAAAAATATGGATTCCTTGTCAAAAATAAAAATCTGCACGTATATCCTTATCATGCCCAACTTTCCCTAATACACTAGAATTGCAAGACGCTAAATTATCATTGCTGGCTGATAAGTGAAAACCATTTAAAAGATCAATATCTGAAGGCTATGATTAATTTGTTGGGCAATAAATCAAAATTACTACTTAAAATTTTTATTTTCTCATGGCATATTTCAATTGTATACTAATATACTGAATGCTCTTAGACGTATATATTTGTTAACCAAGTAAACTAAAATCAATATCTTCTTCTGCAAACCCATTTGTCAACCAGGTACATTCAGTGGCGTGGGCAAGATTATTTTTTGCCCTGGATGAAAAATAAATGTGGTCTAAAAATAATTTTTTTAAAAATAACAAAGCAAAAAAATTAAACAAACAAAGAGTGCTTTGATTAGATATTGATAAAAAAGACAAAGTTGTATCATACACATTGAAAATATGAGATACACCAGAAATAAAAGTATCTATCTAAGTCGAGCTCTACGAGTATGTCGTGAATCAAACTCATCTACCATTTCTTCTGTGTCGAGGCTGGAAGTAATTTCCTTTTCAATATAAAGTATCATGTTATTAGCAATCAATTCATCTCCCATCTTGTTGCGCAATGATGTTTTTATGAGTTTTATTGCCGAAAATGCTCTTTCTGTGCTTATAGTCGATACAGGAAAAGTCAACACGAGCTGAATCAACCTATCAATAAGAGGATACCTTTTGGATTTTCCTTTACTTACCAACTTTTGGCATAATCCTGAGAGTGTAGTAATATTTTAAAAATCAGGATCACACCGCATATCATGCTCATAATGTTGCAATTGATGCCTTAGCTAATAATTAATCTCCACTTCACTGAAATCTTCAGGATAATATTTCTTCGCAAGCATGCAAAGGTCATTAACTTTAAATGATTTGAAAGAATCTTTTGGATCCAAAGCAGAGCTAAGACTTAGAAGTTCTACTGCTCTAAACTTTAAATGATTTGAAAGAATCTTTTGGATCCAAAGCAGAGCTAAGACTTAGAAGTTCTACTGCTCTATCGGAGAATCTTTCACTTAACTCCATAGAAGTTCTACTGCTCTATCGGAGAATCTTTCACTTAACTCCATCACTTGTGTGTTAACAACTTCATATGATATATCAAAGCGATAATGATGCTCAATTGTAATTTCATCACTCTGTTGACAAGAATGACTTGTGCCCTTCACATAACGAGAACTCATATCGGGTATATCAATTTCATGTTTCATATAAAAGGATACTACAAACTACAGAAAATTTTGTCATTTGTGATCACTTTTCAACTCACAGAGAAGAGTTTTTGTGATAGAGATAGAATCCATAAAAGTTAAAATATCTTGATCTTTTCTTTGCAGCGATCGACAAAGTACTTCTGTTACTCCCATTATTTCAACCATTAAGTGTAAGTTAAAAACAAAGTTAAATGAACTCATTGTAGTAAACCCACCACTAACTTCTGCACGAATTTTTCTATTCAACACATCTACCTTTATAATACCAAGAACTTTCCACACAGGTTTATACAAACCAAGCAAACTACAAGCAGAAGAATAGTGTGAGCCCCAACGGGTAGAAGTAGGTCGTCTCAAAGTAGTCTGCTGATAACCTCCTTTACTTGTTTGTAATTCACCTCTTTCCATCAAATTATCAACTTCTCCCCTCTGTGCAGCTCTTAGTTGTTGATTCCGCTTAGGAGAAACACGAACTAAATTCACAATGCAATTCAACATCTGAAAGAATAATTCATGCCAGATAATTCGCCTGATGCTGTAACTAATGCAAGTTGTAAGCGGTTGGAAAAGCAATGAACATAGTATGCATATGGACAGTCTTGCAAAAATAAACTTTCTAACCCACTCCATGCACCTCGCATATTGCTAGCCCCATCATAAACTTGTCCTCTTATATTTTGTGCAAGCAATCCATTACGATCAAGTATAAGTGAACACATCTTTTTGAGAGTTTGTGCGGTAGTGTCTTCAACCCCTATTACATTAAAAAACCTCTCTCTAATAAAACCATCTGCATCAACAAATCTTAACACGATAGCCATGTACTCACAGTTGGATTCATCTTGAGATTCGTCAACTAAAATACAAAACTTAAAGTCATCAATTTCTTCACAAATCTTTTTCCTTACCAAGTCACCCATAATTTTAATAATCTGATTTTGAACCATCGGTGAAGTATAACTAGCATTCCCAGGAGTATTTTCTAAGATAACCTCTGCAACTTGCACAATAAGAGTTGCACTATATTTGAGCAATTCAATAAAGTTTCCACGATTTGATGAATCAAGAGATTCGTCATGCCCTCGAAGAGCACATCCTTGACATGCTAGCCAACGAATAGCATTAATCGTAGTGACAACACGCAAGCGATTTTTCTTTATTTCAGCTTCATCTTGTAAGGTCAAATGTTTCTTAATATTTTGAGATGGATTTCTCAAAGTATCAAGCATTAAAACATTTTTTGAATGTATTGATCCTGTTTCTCCTTCATGCACTCGAAAATGACTGTCTTTTCCTCCCGCTCTCTTCCAACTATTAAATCCTTTCATAGTCCAATCTTCTTGTTTATGTTGTTGAGAGGAATTGCTCTCAAAAAGAAAACAAGGAAAGCAATAGGCACGATCAGTTGTTTCAGAATATTCTAACCAAGCATAAGTCTTGAACTAATCATGTCGAAAGCTACGTCTGTCTTTATTTCTTGTATATTCTTGGAGGTTAGGTTGGCATGGCCCTATTGCTATGTAACGACGCCGAACCTCATCTTGTTCTTTATATGGATATTTCCATATTGCTTGACGTAATCCCGGATCATAAGATACAGTATCCTTGACCTCTTGGATTTTAGGAGGATGTTGCTCTTCTTCTTTATCATCAACCGTTGGCTCCGTAGGCGGTGCCTTGCTTGAGGCTCCAATAATGTATTTTTTAGAATAAAATAAAAATAAAGTTTTCATTCCCTTTCCAGACATTTTAGCTTCAAATTTTAGTAGATTTTGATTAGGATATTAAAAGATTGCATGCATTAAGAAGCATATTAAAAGATTATGATTAGGATATCATCGCATTGCTAATGACTACCTAGTTTCACATGTTTTTCTAGTTTCATATTTATAAAGATTTAACACAAGAGCTTATCAGACTTTTAATAGAAAATTAGGACCACAGGTCCACAGCCAATTAAAATTTTGAATTACATCAAGCCTGCAGCTAATATTTAGTGTCTATATTAGTTTCAACTTCATGTCTTTCAACTACTTGATAAATTAGAGAAGAATCGAAACCCTAAAAAATCCCCTAAAAACCCAAGAAAAAACCAGTTTGCTTTAAACAGATGAAAAAAATTCACCTTTAGAGAACGGCTGAGAAAGATATTTGTTTTTTCCCCAATCCTACGCCTCCCTCAAAATCCTTCTCAGCTCCAAATCTCACTCTGGCATTGGCAATCTGGTTATCAATATGGTCAAATCTTGCAACTCGGAAGAGGAATTGATGGTTACTTTGGGTTCTATTTGAGGAGGCTGAGAGAGAGAGAGCTTAAAGAATGATGAGAGAGAGGCTGAGGGAGAGGGGTGAGAGAGATGCTCAGAGAGAGAGGGGGGTGAGCCTTTAAAGAAAGATGAGAGAGAGACTGAGAGAGAGAGAGAGGAGTGAGAGAGATTATTAGTTTTCCCCCAAAAGAGTGATGTGATTTGAGAGAGGCTGAGAGAGAGAACCTTCAAGAGGGGGATAAAAAGTCAAGCACATGCACTATGCAGCAAGATATTAATTTTTTGACAGGTACTATGCAGCATGGTATTAATTTTTTTTCACTTTCTTGCCCTGGGCAGCTGCCCAGGGTAAGCCTTGCACAGCTACGCCTCTGAGTACGAAGCCCCAATGCATGGACCAAGTGGGAAAAAATAAAATGAAATGCGTTGACCAATTTGAATATAAAACCCTTGTATAGTGACCAAATTGGCCTTCTAGCCTTTAGCTAACAGAACTCTTTGTTCAATCAGTCGCAACCCTATCTCGTAATTGTATAAAATCACGGGTCTTAGAAACTTTTTTTGTCGTACTCTTGACGTTTACTTCCTCCTGTATCACTTCCTCGCTAGTTTCTGAAAGGAAACTTTTTGAATGGCTACCCTTCTCATCAATATCACTCGACAGTCGCTGTGGTTCCATATCTAACAAGTAGGCTAACCCTCTTTTCGTGAAGAGAACAAGGTCTCTTTGTCCCAGAGACGACGTTTCACATTGCTCCTCATGCTACAAATCGCCGACTTCATCCTATCTTGATCTCTCCTTTCCCTTAAAAATAGTATTTCTTGAAGTGGTGTACCAACCTTAAATAGTCTACCAAACTACCACCATAAAAAAGAAGTAACACTAGAATCACTTTTTTAACTGCAGCTGCGACATTTAACTCATTACGACAATAAATAAAAAGAACATGCAGGTAAGAGTCAGTAGTCATTTCGGCTGTAAATTGGCTTTTTAATACTGTTACAGTTTAACAAACAATTGAAACACAATGAACTACGGTAAAAAATATTTCTTCTTACAATTGCAGTGGTGAAAAAAACTGAACAAGGAGATCCCATATAAGATTACTCAAGTACATAGCAATAAACCAAAAGAATAAGAGCATACGAACTAGAAGCAAAAACAAAAGCCTCCGCCACAAGGTTTTGTTACAAACAAATTATGGAAATTTGCGACGTTTACGTAACCTTACACCATAAAGCACTGCTGCAGTTGGAGCTATATCTAGATCCAGCTGCAGCAATCCCAAGAGCCCCTAATCATTAACATCATGCAGCATATTTCTATTCAATAAAAACAGTGTCAGGGTTACAAAGCCCAGAGTTCAACCGATAGCAAATGCGAACATATAAACTGTTTATATCACATGAATGATTATCGCTTAAAAGAATTTTACGACGCGGAGCGGGTATCAAGGCATAGTTTTTGCGTATCACCATCTAACTTGATGCCATAGGCTTTGAAGTTGCATTCTTGATGGCCTCAGCATATGTCCTGTGCTGGTAAGTCAGTGTTGACTCCAACAAGTCCCAAAGTGAAGTTTTCGGGTTCCAACCTATATTCATTTATGAAACGGTTGCTCATCATAGTACCAAATAAGTGTGCCAAAGTCACTTGCATGTGATTAAGTTGAGTGCAGAGATAGCAAGTTGTTTACCAAGTTGTTTGTTGATTATGGTCATATCTGGGATTCTCTTATCACTGTCATCATATCCTTCACCATAGAACTCTTTGGAGCTCACATCCACAGTTGGCACCTCTAATGCTGGGGTTGCTGACACTTTGGCGTAAACCTATGAGTGAAGGCACCAGAGAGTCAATAATCCAGAATGGCTGCATACATATTTATTTTCATGACTAATAGTTGGGTCCAGATACCTCTGTCATCATTTCAGCCAGTTGCTTTACTGTAACCTCATTGTTAGGATTTCCTACATTGAAGATGTGACCATTAGCACGATTGGGGTTTTCCTGTCAAAGAAAATAAATCACTGGTGAGCCTGCTTTACGACAAACATATAGTTTCATCTTTTAAGACAATATAACTAGCATAACATATATTTGAGGCAGGAAACAAATAGAAACGGTAGAGAGAAACAGACGATCATCAAAAGAACAGCTTCAATGGCATCCTTGATGTAAACAAAGGTTCTTTGGGACTGCCCGCCATCCACAAGCTTCAGGGGCTCACCACGAAGGAGATTCTGCAAGCCCAATCATATTGGTAACACATTATTAGAACTTCTGGGAAATCACAAAGATAATTATACCCCTAAAGAAGATTTGGTACTTACATTGCTGAAACATGCCAAGACCCTAGGAACACCCTCACTAGGACCATCAATACCGGGGATAAAATCCATCCTAGGACCAATCCAGTTGAATGGCCTCACAATGGTAAACTGAAGCCCATTTTCAGCACCTTCAGCTGCAGGAAGTTCAAATTGAGGAAAAGATGTGTCAGGATTCACAAGACAGACATCAGAGATGCACTACAGGAATCCAGGTCGTTGAGACCTACCATAAATTAACCTCTCGATAAGTTGCTTTGCACATGCATAAGACCACCTCTGTTTCTCAATTGGGCCAAAAATGCATGGAGAAGCATCTTCTTTAAGGACATAGAACTCTGGATCCTGTTTCAGAATGACATGGCACTGCTTGTTAAACATTCACTATAACAGTGTTGAGCAGTAAAGAACTTCCTATAAACTGATTTGAATAAAGGACAGTACTAGTGCATCAAGATAAATTGTATCAGCAATTAAAAACAATTTGTCGGATATGACATCCACTGAAGTCGCAAATAAGAACATCATTTTCTTTCTTGACGTTAGCACCCAATGACCACGTATTTTTGTAACAAATTGCAAATAAAAGGCCTCACTGACCAACATGGGAACAGATTAAAAATTTATACCGTGTGCTTGGAAAGAGATTGAGAGGACACAATATTAGAAACTTCCAAGTTCCAACCATTACAATAGGCAGTGAAGAAATATTACTGAACCCTCCAACAGCGCACAAATTAAATCAACGTAAGACACGTAAGATGGCCTTTTCAAATTAACCATTTACAGAGCCCAGGTAATTGGAACTGATGCTACAGAAAATGGGAGGACTAGCAAAGCACCAAGTAAGATGGCAAGTTGATAGTTGAAGAAATCAGTTCCCATTTAGACCCACAAACATGAAACATGGCATCTGATAGAAACAAAATTTGAACAGGTTGCACATACACCCTATGGACATGGTAGAGGACTAATGAATGTTCTTATTTGCACATAAAAGTCGGTTCAAAATAATCACATCATATTTCAAAGCCTAGTTATTGACCAACTTACTAGGCACATTCAGAATGAAATCCCATGGTGTATGTTATTTGAGGATGAGATGGTGTTAGTTGACGAAACTAGAAGAGGTATAACTTCTAAAGTAGAAAGGTGGAGACAAACTCTTGAATCTAAATGTTTTAGAATTAGTGGAACAAAAACAGAATATATAGAGTGCATTTTTAGTAAAACTAAGAAAAGAAAAGAACCTATAATACATATTGATGGTCAAGAATATCTAAAAGTAATTATTGTCGCTATTTAGTATCAATCATTCGGCGTGATGGTGCGATTAAAGATGATGTTGTGCATCAAATCAAATCGGAGGAGTGCTTCATGACTCTTATGTGATCGTAGAATATTAATGAAACTAAAGGAAAATTTTATAGGATTGTTATAAGACTAACAATGTTTTATGGGTTAAAGTCCTGGGCAATTAAAAAACATGTACAAAAAATGAGTGTGACAAAAAAGAGAATGTTGCGATGGTCTTGTGGGTATGCACTAAAAAGATAGGATGAGAAACGAGTGCATCTATAGTAAATTAGAGGTTGCTCATATTGAGGATAAAATGAGAGAACATCGACTAAGGGAGTTTGGTCATGTACAACGAATACCTCTTGGTGCATCGGTTAGAAAAAGTGATAGTATTATAGTTAATGAGGCTAAGAGTCTAGGAGATCTAGAGGTAAATCTAAAAGAACTTAGTTGAAATCAATTAAGAATGATATGATTATGATTAACGGCGGAGATACCCCATAATAGAATAGAATGGAAAAATAGGATTCATGTAGCTGATCCCAAACATTTGGGATAAAGGCTTTGATGTTGTTGTGTATTTCAAAGCACATAACTGCTACTATAACTCAAGACAAAAGGAGCTAATAGGAAAATTTGACAATTTTTTGGAGATAAGAGTAGGAAGATAGGGAGCCACACTGCCACAAAAATAAGATAAGGAATCACGATGCCCCAGAAGGAAGATAGGAAATCACACCTCAAAAGAAATAACGATCACACTATTAATCACATAAAGCATTCATTTTCAATCAACATAACAAAGTTGGATATCAGATCCTTTTATAAGAGTCTCAAATCTCAATTAACTAGCCATTAGATAAAGTCTAATAACTCAAACCTCAAGTAACTAATCAGAGGTAACCAAATCAAATCTCTAACATATTTTTAATCAATTCTCTAACATATTCTCATCTTATATCACAAAAGATAAAAACAAAACAAACCTATAAATCAAACCCAAAGAATTTGAATGATTAACAAGATCTAGCATAACAAATATCTAAAATGATTCTTCTGCATCAAGACTTATGTCATTGCAAAAAGAAAATGTTGTGTGACACTAGTCATCTTGGGGAAGGATCAGCAGGATAAGAACACAAAAAGAAAATAAATAAATAAAAACTCCTCCATACTGTATGAGGCAACACCTAAGACTCCCTAACCCTACAAATGGCAAGATTCTTGTGTGTTTTCCTTCCCTTTGATTATCTACCTTGATTAGAAATAATTGATAGTTTATGGAGATATTTTTAACACAAAAAGCTAATACCCTAATATTAGATGCATGTCAAATTTTATTGCTAACAAAACACATTGATATATTAAGTTACCGACATTTGTCCCTTTAAAACTTAACATGCATACTACCGAAGCCAGAATCATTACCATTTAATATTTAATAGCCTATTGCCAAAAGAAAATGTAGCTAGAGTTAATAAACAAAAAATGTCTGGAGAAAACCACTAGGAAAAAAAATATACTCTAGCTACGCACATGTTCTTTCTATTTATTCCTGCAACAATTATTTCTAACAAATCTCAATAACCAGCTAGATGTAAATAACAGTTTTCTCCATTTAAATAAGATGTCTTCAGAATTTTTTCTTTAAGACATGGTAACTCATTGTAGAACTTTGGAAGTTTCTCACGAACTCAAGACATTGGGTAAAAGTATCTTCCAGAATGATCTCTAAAAGAAACAAATCACTAGCTCACATATAATTTCTATTGACTATGTTCAAGCACCCATGATTATGGCTGGCAAATAGGCCTCGACCTGTCAGATTAACTCAAATCCAGCTAGGTAATTTCAGGTATGGATATAGCCAAAGCAAGTACAAACTGAAATTGGGTCAATCCACCAAACTTGGCACATAACATGGTCAGGTATGAGCTTGTATACCTTGATCCACTCATCCTAGCTAACCCATTAAATAATTGAGTTTGGGCGGATCAATCACTGAATCTGACTCATCTTAATATACTATAAAACAACAAAGTTAGAAACCCTAGCTTATGTTTCCTAACATTACACATATACCCAACCTGATAAATTTATTAACTAGGATATGCAACCGATTGTGGTTGCTCACATTTTACGGGTGCAATTATGGATGAAGATATCTAACCCATTTAGTAAACAGGACAGGAATGAAATTAGCTTACTAGATCAAGCCAATTTCACATTTGCCCGGAACACTCACTGGGTTTATCGCATTCCTTCTTTAAGTCAGATGTTAGAATTTAGACGTTATTTGTGCATTTGGTTAGAATTTAGATAAGTTTTAGCTAGATGAGATTTAATTAAACTTGTTTATGTTTTATTCACATAATTCCTGAGAAAATGTAAGGTGTAGCATTGATGAGTGAGACTAATAATAAATTGATATTTTGTCATGATCGGGTGTTCGTTGATGTTCAATCACATTTGACACTAAATTGGAGGGAATGGTATGATCTCCACAGTCCCATTTTTGTTATGGAGGAAAATAAATTGAAATGAGATAGAACTTTCTTTGATTGATTGTGTATCCCTGGATTCATTTTTTCCCTAATACTCTATTTTTCTTCCCTTTTCCTGAAATTCCACATTAATCCCCAAGTATTGGTCTCAAGAATCTCCACTGCTCAGAGATGTCGTTCTTAGGTCATGTCCCTGACCACTTTAAGGTTTTTATTTCTAGATGCTATTTTCTATTTTTCTACCTTCTAACTTATCACATTTTGTCCTTATATGATCCTCAACATCATCCATGTCATTTTCTCTCCCCATAAGTAAAGCGCATTTGTTTAATTACACTAGAGGGCATCCATAAATTCCCACAGAATATTTCATTAATTTCTCATTTGTGAGCAAGGATTTAAGTATAATCTCTTGTAAAGAATTGAAAAAAAATATAGAGATACTACTGTTTTCTATAGCTACTCAATTTCGCAACCGAATAATAAAAATGAAAATATAGGCCAGAGATAGGACTACAAAGTATTAAAGATTTATGAACATCATATGGTCTGCTCAAACTTAATCAATACTAGCAACAATGGCAACTTCTAATGGCCAAACCCCTTGTTCAAATAAAAATAATAATTAAGTCATCATCGGTGAAATTAAAAGAAGACCCAAGTTGTCTTTTCCTAAAAAATTGATGATGGTAAATAACGGGTATAAGATATAAAGGTCTTGAATAAGATGCCAAGCCATTGAGACTAACACGAAATAGGGATAGAAAGAGCAACCATACGCTGCACAAGACACTAGTATGAGCACCCAAATAGCCAAAAAACCCCACATCCAATGAAAGAATCACTCCTTTATCTAAACAAAATGAGGTATAGACCATGTCCAAAAATCATATAAAGATCACCGCTCAGCCTCGTATGACCACTCAATAACTTAGTGTTTTGTCAAAAGACTTGACCCCTTGAATGGTTCATAACTAGATACAATCCAACAAAACCTTAACATTACTATTAGATATTCAATGTCATTTCAAGTTATAACAATTAATTAATTAATTAACTAGCAAAAGGTAAGGAAACTGTAAATGATTGGGGTATCAAATAAATGAGGAGATATCCTCCCAATTTGAAGTTGTTCATCCAAATCCTTCAAAAAATAGCGTAAATGCCATAAGGGAGGAGTTAATGTTCAAAATGAGACATCCATAGTCAAGACGAA